CCTGTGCATAGCTCCAAGGTAATAAATAAATGGTTTATGTTCTCAAATATATTCCTGTCTATAATCTTATTGAAATCAATTTCAATTTTAGACCAGCAAATTGTTCACCAAATCACAGTTCCCACAACCATTAACAATAAGAGACTGATGAAGAGTAATACAGTTTATATTTTTTATATAGGATCAAATCTCAGCAATGTACAACATATTGGACATTCAAGGAAGGGCCCAATAACAGCGCTGCAACATCTGGTTCCCAGACTCAAAACTTGAGATGAGCCAGTAGCTTATGTTTGCCTTCCTTGATCTCCTTCTCTTTTTGAGCCTATGTTGAGAAGAAAACAAAATTACTATCCCATGAAACAAAAGAAACACTCCAGGGAACAAACTTATCTTCAGGCTGAAAGACTGCACATGCATTTATAAGTGGGAGCTGGAGAGAGCACATACCTCTGCTTTTGTTCTCCCAGCTGTTACCAAAATATCCAGTCATTCTCCCTTACCTGCCAGGCAGAAAAGCAATCTATCCAGGCACAGAAAACAGTAAACCACACAAGCTCCTACCCTCAAAACAGAAAAAGGATAGAACAATAACCTACTTCACTTCCATTGACCAATGAGGACTGTTCCCTATAATATGTTCTCTACAGGGCTTTGTCCTGACTAGTATTAAAAATTGTCCCAAATAATGCATGTCCATTTTCTCTCTCAAGTAAAACTGTACTGGATTATTATTTCATTTTTGAGAAATGTCACTTGATTCCAACCCTATATTCTCTTTTGTTCTGCACTAACACCCAAATGCCCCAGTCAGCCAAGATCCCACTTTGATCAGCCCTGTACAACAAGCACAAGGCAGCCTCTTCCAAAGAGCTCACGCTCCAAGCATTCTGGATCTGATCCTCTCACCCTTTATATTTGAGAGGAAGGGGTTTAATTCACTGTCTTGGCCTCAACACTATAAAACAGAAGTAACTTAATTAAAAGAACTGGAAAGATAATCAGGCTATTTGGGTTACAAAACACTGGCAAGAGACATTTGCATTAAACAAAATCTTTTTGAGCAATTCAGTTCTATGAACATTCCACCAATAGGTCCTTTAAACACTTAGGAACCTGACTTACATTTTTTTTAAAGGGACAGCATAATTTAAAATTTCCACTTCTTGGTCAAGGATTTGGTCATGTCTTTTAAAAGAAAGGAAACCACTCCTCCCCTCCCCACCTCGGTACCACATGGACATAAATTCAGTGGATAAGGGTAACAGCACTGGTTTAGGAGGAGGTATCATCACACTTCCTTGAAAAACTGAACACACTGGTAAGGATCTCACATTCTTCTGAATTATATGACAATAAAGCTCCTTGTGCTTCTAAAACTTAAGACAAGTTTCTCTAAAGATTAAAAACCAGACTAAATGGAATACTGGCTTAGTGGAGAGACCTTCCCTCAATTATTCCGCTAACAGGAAAAAATCACAATGCACCAGACTGTTGCCAACTCTCTCATTTGTCATCTAATAGGTAAGAACAATCAGAAGTCAATGAAGTTTTTGGACAATGTTATTTTAAACCAGAAGCTATTTACATAAACAGCATTAAGAAAAGCCCAGATAACACAGAGCACTGCAACAGCTGCTGACAGAAAATAAGTTTCCCAGACCAATAAGGAATTGCCTCCAGTCATGAACATATAAACAGCACTGCTAGAAATGCTTTGCCGTCAACCCCTACTGCTTTGGGAAAGTCACCCTAATACTACATTTTTCCTTCCTTTTCCATTACCCTACCAAGATGAGGTACCCCTGGGAATAAATGTTCTTACTCCAGTAAGAACTCTTGCCCCCAAGAGTTCTATTTTTATTAAAAGCTGTACGCATCTGGTTAAACTTACCCTCCGTGCTAGGAATACATAAGTCCAGAATACAATAGGTCCAACTCCCCATAAAAGTCCCATAATGGATGTCTTTAGAGTGGGCTTGAAATGTGGATAGACATTTGCTCTAGCATAGGTCCAACGGAGCATGGCAGGATCTTCCTAAATAGAAAGAAAATGCAGTCAGCAATGCTCAACTGTAACATGATTCATGTTAACCTGCTTTACACCTCAGAGGGCACCTGTTATGTTTCTCAGTCAAGGAGACTAAAGATAAGCTTATTAACTGGATCTCACGTCTCTCTCACTTAACCGAAGCAACGGAATTTCACTTCCCAAATAATATAGCATCAGGCTCATGTAATAGCCCCAAAGCCTGGTCTTTTCTTAAAGCCTATTTCTGAAGGAATAGCCTGTGCCCTAAAGAGGTTCCAAGGATTCATTAGCTCACATTTAAACAACTGAAGACGCCAGTATTTGTATTGGCCAACATAGCCGAGTAACAAAAGTATTTAATCATTTTAACCTTGTTTACGCTGACAAGGCTCTTGAGGAGACCCATTGAAAGGGCAGGGCAGATAAATGCGAGTCAAGAACTACCAGGTTGCATCTCCTGATCGCACATCAACTCCTGGTACAGCCCTACACTAGTCAATCCTCCAACTTCTGCTTCCCCACTGAAGTGCATCAGAGGTGCAATATGGCTGAGTCTGCAACAAACAACCAGCAAATTATCAGAAAAAGAATCTAGCACAGGTCAGAACACTCCTACCCCCGTGTGCTAACCCCTACAACTTTGTGCCTCTCAAAAGAAATCTGAAAGAGGCTTTACAAGAAGCCTCCAAATCTCACTGTATCCTCACAGGCTAAGGTAACACAACTTTAGGACAGATCTTTCCTGGGCAAGACTAAACACAAGTTCTTCCTAAAAAAAAGGGAAAAAAAAAAATAGGGAAGCAGATATGGGGTTTACATGGCTGCACAAAGCAGTGCCCTGATCTCAGAGCTGACTGAGCCTTTGGCCTGACCTTTGTACCACTTTGCACACCTTTAACTAAAAGTACCATGTTCTAATGCATGTAGCACATGCCAACATCCACCTGGGGTTAGCATCTGCACAGCCAAACCTGAATATCACAACCTCAGTAAAACTGTCACTAAATTGGTATTACAGTAAACTTCTCCACCTACACCAGTGGTTCCCAACAGGGGAGCCACAAGACCCCTTCAGGAGGGGCCCTGCATTACAGTACCCTGCATGCACCCCATGCAGGAGTGACTGCAGCAGGAACAGGTGACAAAACACAGGGCATGCAGACAGATAATCTGCCCCTTTGAAAAAAAACGCTGCCACTGCCAGGCATATCTGCCTCTGTCTGGGAGGAGCATACAGGGCTGGACCAGAAAGTGGCTGCAGCGAGAGCAAGCTTTCATCAGACATATTAGCTAACCCTAACACAGGAAAGCACCCTCTTCTGCTGCAGCCACTTCCTGATCTGGCTCTAGGGGCACATTGATTTGGCAGCCACAGCAGCACCCCAGTGGAGAACCAGGGGAGCCAGCTGATATGCCTTAATGGTGGACCTCAAGACAGGGGGCAGGGGCGGGGGAAGTGTCACATTCAGGTGAGCTATGGAGGCACCACTACGGATCTCCACCACTACCAATGGTCTCCAAACTTTTTTGATCGTGCACCCCATCTGTAAAAAATTTTTGAGCATGCACCCCCAATATATGTATATTTATTGGGGGCACCACTGAGGGTGCCACTGTGAACCCCTCCACGTTGTGGAACTCCCACTCTTCCCTCAGGATACCTCGCATACTGTATGTGACATGTGACCATCTGACATACGGACCAGGTGAGGGTGCCAGTGTCAATCCATATATTAAATATTAGTAAAGCTTAATTTCTCTCATTTTTTTAGATAAAAAATAAATATAAATAGAAGTTCTAATATTTTCTTCCTGCACCCCAATGGATCATCTTGCACACCCCACTTCGGAAACCACTGCTCTAGACAACCTCATGCTTCTGCAACAGAGATGTGTGGGGTTGGAGTGGTGTCTGGGGTGACCTGGAAGACCACCAAAAGGGGCAAATGGCCACAAGGCCCCAAACAGTAGCTTCCTGGACACATGCACTAGAGACGGCAGTTGGAAAGAGCAGGGGGGACCACCTGTCCCCAGCTGAGCGGGGCTGCCCTTAAATGTAAGCCTCAAATCCTGGTCCTGGGCTGAATGACTCTGGGACAGCATTTGTCACAGATTCCCCTAGACACTGTCAAACCATAGCCACCATCACCCCAGCATCATGTACATGGAACCAGGTTTTCGTTTTGCTGGAGAAAAACACAAATATTCTCCTTTGAAGGAGAAAAATGTGGGAACGCCATTTTTCCTTGCAGGCTGGGAGAGCTCCAGCCTACACGGCCTGCTTAGGGCTGGGGGGAGGCTGACTGGAGGCACAGCCAGGCAGGATGGAGAGCAGCTCCCCTAGCAGCCTGCAGGTGGGGGGAAAGGGGGGGGGAGTGGAGACATAAGGACACACGGGCAGACTGAGGTCCCCACGGTGCGGGAGGGGCGGGGCCGCGCCTGCATTCGGAAGAGGTGCTCCCCGGGGTCCCCGCCCCCCGACCCGGCCCCGCACGCACGATGAGCCCCTGGCGGTGAGGGTCGTTGAGTTTCAGCTGGTACTCGAGCTTGAGGCGGGCGCGTATGGCCAGGCGCTCGGCCTGCTGCCGGCGCGTCTGCTCGGACTGCTGGTACTCGGCCGGATCAAGCGTCCGCGGCAACGACACGCCGACCAGCGGCTTGTAGCCCACACCCTTTAAACGAGATGAGTCCGCCATCTTCACCTGCCGCCCTCTTCTGCGCAGGAGCGGAAGCGCCCTCTCACCCTGGAAGTAAGGCGCAGGCGGGGGCCGGACAGAGGAGGGGCTTGCTGCCATGGTTACTGGGGAGTCGCTGCTGCCCCCACCCCCCTCAGCGTCTCTGAGAGTTCTGCCCACCTGCAGGCGCCGCCCCACGCGCGTGCGCTCTTTCTTGGGCCAGGCGGCTGGGTCACGTGCTGTTCTTATGGGTCAAGGTTTGGGGTTCTTATGGGTCTTCTTGGCGCATTAGCAGGGATTCTGGTTTTGTCTGATTAAAAAAATCCCCAATTTTCTAGTTACCCAAAAAAAGTAACCCAAAATTCACATTTTCCCGTTATTAAAATGAAACACCACTAATGCATAGTGGTATATACATCTATATCTCTATATCTAGATATAGAGATATCTAGATATAGAGATATATACTGCTATGGATTTGGAAAAGGTGCACGCGCGCGTGTGCGCACGTGTGTGTGTAAACACACACCATATATATAACTCCAAACCCTGACCCATATATTATATATGGTGTTTGTGTGTGTCTATTTATATCTATAGATATAGATAGATATAAATCTATTTGGATATAGATATATATATGCACCTTTTCCAAATGCATAGTGGTATATATAGCTATATAGATAGAAACCACTCTCTCTCCGTCTATATATATATACACACACACATATATATATAGTGGTGTTTCATCTTGATCACAGAAATAAAAATTGGGGATTTATTTTTTCATCAGAGAAAACCAGGCTCCCTGTATATTAGTGCACTGACATCCTGGCTGTAGGAGCTGGGCTCATAGGACAGCCAGGCTAGAAGGTGCCTCCAGAGGTCATCCATTCTGTCCTTTGCTCGAGGCAGGCTGCTTCCTGGCTAGCTGCCCCAGCCAAGTGCCTGTCTAACCTGCTTTTGAGAGTTTCCAAGCATGGAAAGTCCACAGCTTCTCTAGGTAGCCTGCTCCCATGCCTGGCTGCTCTCAGAGTCAGGAAGTTCCTCCTCATCTCCAGCCTAAATTCCCCCTGCTGCAACTTGCTTTGCCCCCTACAGCCACAAAAAAAGCCTAGCCTCATTCTCTCTATAATCACCCTTCAGCTATTGAAATGACTGTTATTGAAATACCTCCTCAGGCTTCCCTTCTCCAACTGAAAGAAACCTAGTTCTCAGAGTCAGGAATGTCCTCTGTCTCCAGCCTAAACGTCCCCCACTGCAGCCTGAGGCCCTTGCTCCTAGTCCTATCCCCTGCAGCCACAGAGTAAAGCCCATCTCCATCCTCTCTATAATCACTCTTCAGGTATATGAAGACTTATCAAATACTGCCTCAGTCTTCTCTTCTCCAGGCTAAATAACACTCACTGTTTCAGCTTTTCTTCATAACTCTCACCTCCTAGGCCCCTGATCAATTTTGTTGCCCTGTGCTGGACTCTTTCCGAACCATCCACTTCTTTCTTGAAGTGTGGGGTCCAGCACTGGACACCGTGCTCCACTTGAGGCTTCACCACTGCTGAATAGAGTGGAAGAATCACTTCCCTTGATTTACAAAGGATGCTCCTGTTAATACAACCCAAGATGCTGCTGGCATACTTTGTAATAAGAGTATGCTGTTGGTTCATATTCAGCTTATGGTCTACTGTGAACCCCCAGTCCTTCTCTGCAGTACTTCAACTTAGTCAGTCATTCCCCAGGCTGTATTTGTGCATGCAGTTATTCTGTCCAAAGTGCAGGACTTTGCACTTGTCCTTGTTGAAATTCATTTGATTGCAGACCATTTTTCAATTCATATGGATCATAGGATAACCCAGCCAATTCCTTCAGTACCCTCAGGTGCATCCCATCCAGCCCTGGCAACTTGAAACATCTACCTTGTCTAATCCATAGCCTAGTCTGCCATCACTCTAGGTGGTTTGTCTCCTTCCCTCTCTCTCCTGTCACCTACATTTGTCAGCTGGATCCTAGCCCTTTCCTCCAGAGTATGCTATTCCACCCAATGTGGTATCATCCACAAATTTGCTAAGGGTGCGCTCAGTCCAAACATGCAAATCATTAATGAAGATGCTGAACAATACCAGACCCAGGACAGACCTCCTCCCAGCTAGACATTGAGCCATTGAGGACTACTTGCTGAGTACGATGATCCAACTAACTGTGTATCCACCTTACAGTACTTGGATCTAGTCTGTATTTCCTCAGCTTGTTAATGACAATACCATGGAAGCTAGCACCCAAAGCGTTGCTAAGTCAAGGTATACCATGTTCACTGCTCTCTACTCATCCACAGAGCTTGTCACTTTATCATCGGACAGGGGTGGGCAAAATACAGCCCGCAGGCTGGATCTGGCCAGCCAGGCAATTCCATCTGGCCCGTGGGTGTGCATCAGTGAAGTTTACCCCATGCAGCCTCAGCAGCTCGCTCACACCCTCATGTGCAGAAGGGCCAGGCCCAGCAAGCACACAGCTTCTGGGTGGGGGCTACTGATGCTACTGCTATAGCCACCGCAGGACCTGCTCAGCTTTCCCGGTGTCCAGCAGCTTCTCCTTGTCAGCAGCACTCACTTCAGGCAACAGCTAGGGAAGTGGTGGTAGCAGAAGCTGCGGCCAGGGGGAGAGGCTGCAGTTGGGTGAGGATGGGGAGCACGGGTCTGGGGCTGGTGGCAGCGTGGATTCTGTGCCCAGTGGGGCAGTGGGAGTGTGGAGCTTGGGTGGGCAGAGTATGAGTGTGAGGGAGGGTGAAGGGGTGTGAGGACCCCCCACACACTCTCCCCCCCACCTCACATGGCACACAGCTCCTGTTGCTGGTGGCAGCAGGAGGCAGGGGCCCTCAGGGCAATCATGACACTGCTGCCTGGCAGCATGCAGCCCTGTCCAGACCTGAGCATGGTGACAAGGAGCACAGCCTGTATCGCATGGCGCTCCCTGCAACACACAGGCAGCTCCTGGCACTCACACAGCACCAGGGGAAGCCCTGCATGCTGGACCCAGCTGCCTTTCACACCCTGTGCATCTGCTAGGACTCGGTCAGAAGTGGCAGGGAGCCCTGCCCCTGCTTCCGTAGCTGCAGCAAGCTCCATTGCATGGTGCCATGTGAGTGCCAGGAGCTGCAAGTGCATGGTGGGGGAGTGCTGTGTGATAATGGCAGGCTGGGCAGGCTGCGCTCCTTGTCACCACGTGCAGCTTTGGCCAGAGCCACATGCCACCAGGCAGCACTGCCACAAGCTCCCTGAGGCCTCATCGATAGCAAGAGCTGCACACTATGGGGGAGAGTGTGAGTGGGTGAGTCCCCATACCCCCTACCTTCCCTCATACCCCACAAACCCCATGCACCCACACTCTGCCCCCAAATCCCCCAACATATACACCCCCTGCAACATACCTTACAATCCCCAACACACACACAGCCCACCAAACATACTCACCCACCCCAACCACATCCCACATCCCCCACACACAAAATACAAGAATAAGAATTTATTTTTGACCTATTATTCCATCACCTCTATATATACTGCACAAACACAAATCATGACAAAAATATTTTTGTAATAAAATTAAAATGTGTTATAGTAAATGTTTGACTTTCTGTATATGATTTGGGTTTTTTTAGTTCAGATGACAATCCCCCTCCTTTAGACAAAGGAGTACTTCTGGGGGCAAGGGGAGGGGTTTCCAGTGGCACAGGTCAGGGGTTAGGGGTGGGACTTCCAGTCCCATGATGGTAACCAGGGGGTGGGGTGCCTGTCAAGGGGCGGGGCTACCCTTGCGGCTCTTGGCAGCTGACTAAAACTCATTAAGCAGCCCTCCAACCAAAATAATTGCCCACCCCTGTCATAGAAGGAAATAAAATTGGTGAAGTGTGACCTGCGCTTAATGAATCCACGCTCACTTTTCCTGATCGCCTTATTCTCTTCCAGCTGCTTCACAACGGATTCCTTGAGGATTCGCTCCACGATCTTTCCAGGTACAAAAGTCAGGTTGACTGGTCTGTAGTTCTCTGGATCCTCCTTCTTCCCCTTTGTAAAGATGGGCACTATATTTGTCCTTTTCCATCAATCCGAGACCTCACCTGAACAGCTCCAAAATTATCTCAGCCAATTTTTTCAATTCTCTCAGGTGCATCCCTTCCAGCCCTGCCAATCTGAAAGCATCTAGCTTCTCTAACCTGGCCTGCCATCACTCTAGGCTGTTTGTCTCCTTCCCTATCCCTCCTGTCACCTACACCCATCAGCTGGTAGCTGCCCCCTATTTGTGAAAACCAAAGTAAGAAAGACATTAAATACTTGAACTTTCTTTCTCTCATCTGTGACTACATTACCTTCTACATTCCATAAGGAAAGAACCTGATGTAGCACCTCAACTTCTGAAAAAGGAGACAGAGAAATTTGTAAGATGTAGATGGCACTTCAGTTAGTGCAGCACTCCCTGGGCTTGGTTAGGAGTAACAGGTCTCCACCTCCCCCAACTCCCCTCTTCTCCTCAGATGCTTCATTACTGGCAATATCAGACTTATGCTGGAAACAAACTTTTTTCCAAAATACACAGTTTTATCCTTGGACAAAGTGCAGTCATACAGATATCCATGTTTGTTGTCCCAAGATAAACCCGAAAAAAGTTTCCCAGATAAGAGATAATAGTTTATCCTGGAATATTGCAAAGTACATCTAGACAGTTACCTTAAGCTTACATCACTGAATAAATGGCAGAAGGGCAGTGCTGCATTCAGCCATTCACTAAATCCTGATTTGAATGTTGATGTTGGTACAGAGGAAGCTCAGGATATTTTTGTTCCAGGACAAATGCAGGTACAATGTATCCAGGGTCAAATGCAACTTCTGTTCCTGTCTTTGGAGAAGATCAAAGAGGCTCATTGTTAAGGCAGAAAGCAGGAACTTAGTATATCAATCACAGAAGAATAGGAGCAGTATGGGCAGCTGAGAACCATTGTTTTGTATGTCCTCAGGTTTATAGTTTAAGGTTGCCAGGTTATCATCTTTTGCCTTTCACTAGCACAGT